TTTTTGCAAACACTTGTTTAAATTTAAATAAAATTGCTAAAAACACTCTTAAAGATTTTTCAAATTTTATAAAATTTTCTTTAAAATTTCAATAATATTTTGATTTTTTTCTTAATTTTTTTTCACAATTTTTTCTGTATAAAAAAACTTTTATTGTTTATTTTTGTTTTTTTTTTTTATGAATTTTATTAGACCGTTTTGCACGACATTTAACTGCGAACTAGTCGGTCGTTAGACTTTTGCTCTAGGCAACTTTTATTGAAGCTTGCTTTTAACAATAGGACCAGAGGCAGAGACAGAACAGAACAAAGCGGTTCGTTTGTAACAATTAAAAATGTATGCTCAAGCTGGCTCGAACTTGGGGGGGTCATAGACATGTTGCAAGTTCCAAGGAAGGTTAAAGGTTTTTGTTTTAAAGACAAATATTAAATTAAGGGAACATTTTAATTAAACAAAACTTGTTGTTAAGGAAAACTGTTATACAGATTTCTTGAACAAAATGTTTTTCTATTTAGCTAGAAAAAACACTTAAACTTTGGATTTTCTCTAAAAAAACAGTTATACACAAAATTTTCTCCTTTCAAACTGTTATACAAAAACGTTTTTATAAGGAAAACTGTTATACACAATATTATCTTAAGAAATAACAGTTATACACAAAATTTTCCCTAGAAAAAAACTGTTATACAGAAAATTTTTTATAAGGAAAACTGTTATACACAAAATTATCTGTAGAAAAAACTGTTATATTTCAAAATTTACATACACAAAATTCTATGTAATTTTCTACAAGAAAAAACTGTTATACAGAAAATTTTCTATAAAAAAACTGTTGTATGCCAAATGCTATGTACAAAAAACTGTTATACTTAATATTTTCTATAGAAAAACTGTTATACATAAGATTTTCTCAGTTCTAGTTCATTTCTAGTTTATTTCTAGTTCAGTTCTAGTTCAGTTCCAGTTCAGTTCTAGCTCAGTTCTAGTTCAGTTCCATTTCAGTTCTAGTTATATTCTAGTTCAGTTCTAGTTCAGTTCCAGTTCGGTTCTAGTTCAGTTCTTGTTCAGTTCTAGTTCAGTTCTAGTTCAGTTCTAGTTCAGTTCTAGTTCAGTTCTAGTTCAGTTCTAGTTCAGTTCTAGTTCAGTTCTAGTTCTAGTTCAGTTCTAGTTCAGTTCTAGTTCAGTTCTAGTTCAGTTCTAGTTCAGTTCTAGTTCAGTTCTAGTTCAGTTCTAGTTCAGTTCTAGTTCAGTTCTAGTTCAGTTCTAGTGTCAGTTCTAGTTCAGTTCTAGTTCAGTTCTAGTTCAGTTCTAGTTCAGTTCTAGTTCAGTTCTAGTTCAGTTCTAGTTCAGTTCTAGTTCAGTTCTAGTTCAGTTCTAGTTCAGTTCTAGTTCAGTTCTAGTTCAGTTCTAGTTCAGTTCTAGTTCAGTTCTAGTTCAGTTCTAGTTCAGTTCTAGTTCAGTTCTAGTTCAGTTCTAGTTCAGTTCTAGTTTCAGTTTAGTTCAGTAGTTCAGTTCTAGTTCAGTTCTAGTTCAGTTCTAGGTCAGTTCTAGTTCAGTTCTAGTTCAGTTCTAGTTCAGTTCTAGTTCAGTTCTAGTTCAGTTTTCTAGTTCATTTTCAGTTCAGTCTAGTTCATTTAGTTCAGTTTCTAGTTCAGTTCTAGTTCAGTTTCTAGTTCAGTTCTAGTTCAGTTCTAGTTCAGTTTCTAGTTCAGTTCTAGTTCAGTTCTAGTTCAGTTCTAGTTCAGTTCTAGTTCAGTTCTAGTTCAGTTCTAGTTCAGTTCTAGTTCAGTTCTAGTTCAGTTCTAGTTCAGTTCTAGTTCAGTTCTAGTTCAGTTCTAGTTCAGTTCTAGTTCAGTTCTAGTTCAGTTCTAGTTCAGTTCTAGTTCAGTTCTAGTTCAGTTCTAGTTCAGTTCTAGTTCAGTTCTAGTTCAGTTCTAGTTCAGTTCTAGTTCAGTTCTAGTTCAGTTCTAGTTCAGTTCTAGTTCAGTTCTAGTTCAGTTCTAGTTCAGTTCTAGTTCAGTTCTAGTTCATTCTAGTTCAGTTCTAGTTCAGTCTAGTTCGTTCTAGTTCAGTTCTAGTTCAGTTCTAGTTCAGTTCTAGTTCAGTTCTAGTTCAGTTCTAGTTCAGTTCTAGTTCAGTTCTAGTTCAGTTCTAGTTCAGTTCTAGTTCAGTTCTAGTTCAGTTCTAGTTCAGTTTCTAGTTCAGTTCTAGTTCAGTTCTAGTTCAGTTCTAGTTCAGTTCTAGTTCAGTTCTAGTTCAGTTCTAGTTCAGTTCTAGTTCAGGTTCTAGTTCAGTTCTAGTTCAGTTCTAGTTCAGTTCTAGTTCAGTTCTAGTTCAGTTCTAGTTCAGTTCTAGTTCAGTTCTAGTTCCAGTTCTAGTTCAGTTCTAGGTCATGTTTAGTTTCAGTTCTAGTTCAGTTCTAGTTCAGTTCTCGTTCAGTTCTAGTTCAGTTCTAGTTCAGTTCTAGTTCAGTTCTAGTTCCTTCTAGTTCAGTTCTAGTCAATTCTAGTCAGTTTAGTTCAGTTCTAGTTCAAGTCTAGTTCAGGTTTCTAGTTCAAGTTCTAGTTCAGTCTAGTTCAGTTCTAGTTCCAGTTCTAGTTCAGTTCTAGTTCAGTTCTAGTTCAGTTCTAGTTCAGTTCTAGTTTCAGTTCTAGTTCAGTTCTTAGTTCAGTTCTAGTTCAGTTCTCGTTCAGTTCTAGTTCAGTTCTAGTTCAGTTCTAGTTCAGTTCTAGTTCAGTTCTAGTTCAGTTCTAGTTCAAGTTCTAGTTCAGTTCTAGTTCAGTTCTAGTTCATGTTCTAGTTTCAGTTTCTAGTTCAGTTCTAGTTCAGTTCTAGTTCAGTCTAGTTCAGTTTAGTTCAGTTCTAGTTCAGTTCTAGTTCAGTTCTAGTTCAGTTCTAGTTCAGTTCTAGTTCAGTTCTAGTTCAGTTCTAGTTCAGTTCTAGTTCAGTTCTAGTTCAGTTCTAGTTCAGTTCTAGTTCAGTTCTAGTTCAGTTCTAGTTCAGTTCTAGTTCAGTTCTAGTTCAGTTCTAGTTCAGTTCTAGTTCAGTTCTAGTTCAGTTCTAGTTCAGTTCTAGTTCAGTTCTAGTTCAGTTCTAGTTCAGTTCTAGTTCAGTTCTAGTTCAGTTCTAGTTCAGTTCTAGTTCAGTTCTAGTTCAGTTCTAGTTCAGTTCTAGTTCAGTTCTAGTTCAGTTCTAGTTCAGTTCTAGTTCAGTTCTAGTTCAGTCTAGTTCTAGTCAGTTCTAGTTTCAGTTCTAGTTCAGTTCTAGTTCAGTTCTAGTTCAGTTCTAGTTCAGTTCTAGTTCAGTTCTAGTTCAGTTCTAGTTCAGTTCTAGTTCAGTTCTAGTTCAGTTCTAGTTCAGTTCTAGTTCAGTTCTAGTTCAGTTCTAGTTCAGTTCTAGTTCAGTTCTAGTTCAGTTCTAGTTCAGTTCTAGTTCAGTTCTAGTTCAGTTCTAGTTTCAGTTTCTAGTTCAGTTCTAGTTCAGTTCTAGTTCAGTTCTAGTCAGTTCTAGTTCAGTTCTAGTTCAAGTTCTAGTTCAGTTCTAGTTCAGTTCTAGTTCAGTTCTAGTTCAGTTCTAGTTCAGTTCTAGTTCAGTTCTAGTTCAGTTCTAGTCAGTTCTAGTTCAGTTCTAGTTCAGTTCTAGTTCAGTTCTAGTTCAGTTCTAGTTCGTTTAGTTCAGTTCTAGTTCAGTTCTAGTTCAGTTCTAGTTCAGTTCTAGTTCAGTTCTAGTTCAGTTCTAGTTCAGTTCTAGTTCAGTTCTAGTTCAGTTCTAGTTCAGTTCTAGTTCTAGTTCAGTTCTAGTTCAGTTCTAGTTCAGTTCTAGTTCAGTTCTAGTTCTGTTCTAGTTCAGTTCTAGTTCTGTTGTAGTTCTGTTCTAGTTCTCTTCTAATTCTGTTCTAGTTCTGTTCTACATAGTTCGTTGCAAACATTATATTTTTGTTAATTTTTTTAAAAGTTTTATACAAAATTTTCTTTAAAAAATTTAATACATATTCTTTTAAAAGAAAGAAAAGAAATATGTACAAGCAATATACAACAGCATAATTTTGACGATTATAACAGCTCAACTGGAAATGCAAATTAACACACTCATCACTTTGCCTCTCTGCTATCATAATTTCTCTTTTTTTTCTTATTTGCTTTGGCAACTTTTTGTTCGTTTCTTTTTGCTAACGACAATGTGCAAAAAGCCATTATTATGGACCAAGTGCACTTCCTGTTCCTATTTGAAGTTGATATTGCAACAGAATACAACAATGAAACAGGAAAAAAACAACAACAATCATGTAAAAAATTAAAAAAAAGCAAAATCCTTTAGGATTTTTTCTTTTTTGTATTTATGTAGTTGACTTTATTCTACAATATTTGCATTTGTGTGGGTGTTTATACATATTTTTGCTACAGCTTTTGTTGTTGCTGTTAGTCAGGCAACACAACATTTATGTTTAGTCATGATAAACTCTTTTTTGTTTACTTTGTTTTATTCTATTTGGCTCAATATGCAAATAAACACTAAGACACACACATTTAATAACTCTCTCTTAGCCGCTGTGTATCTCTCTCTCACTTTATTACAAACATTTACAACTTAACTAAAGCATAAATAATTTAGCACATAAAAGTAAAATACATATTAAACGTTTTATAAACACTCTCTGTTCACACTAGCTACGGAATAGGGAATTCAAATATTTATTAAATTCAATCAATTTTCATTTCAGTGTGAACATAACTTTATCAAATACTCAAAGGGGGGTTTATGTTGATGGATGTTGTAAGACAGGGAAGAGAAAGTGGAGTACATGGAGTATATGCTGCATAACTCTTATTTAAATTATGCCTGTAATCGTTAGTTTCTTTGCATTTCCACTGGCAAGCCATATTTTTTAAGTATTTAAAATATTTCAAAAAGGTCCTTATGTGTTCCCAGCACTTTTGCCAAGTCATTAATCACAGTTTAATAATCAAACATATTTATGGCAAAAAAAAACGATAAGCAAAATTTTCAAGTGTTGAAAACAATTTGCAGAATCATTTTCTACTCAAACAACAAATGTTTTGTTTATTTTACTTTAAAACAAAATCCAAAAAAAAGAACTACAAAAAAAGAACAAAAACATATGCATAAAACTAAAGATTTAATCAATTTCCAAAGTTTTTAAACTTTGTGTCAGATCGGGGCTTTTGGCAGATTTTTCAGTAGATTTTAAAGGTTTTTTAGATTTATCCATTTGCCATCTGGAAGGATCCATTAGGTAATCCCTGTAAATAAAATAAAACTGATTAGAAAACTATTCCGTTCTATTTCTGTTCTAGATGCGTTCTAGTTGTGTTCTAGTTGTGTTCTAGTTGTGTTCTAGTTGTATTCTAGTTGTGTTCTAGTTGTGTTCTAGTTGTGTTCTAATTATGTTCTAGTTGTGTTCTAGTTGTGTTCTAGTTGTGTCCTAGTTGTGTCCTAGTTGTGTTCTAGTTCTGTTCTAGTTCTGTTCTAGTTCTGTTCTAGTTTTGTTCTAGTTCTGTTCTAGTCTTTTCTAGTTCTGTTCTAGTTCTGTACTAGTTCATTCTAGTTCTGTTCTAGTTCTGTTCTAGTTCTGTTCTAGTTCTGTTCTAGTTCTGTTCTAGTTCTGTTCTAGTTCTGTTCTAGTTCTGTTCTAGTTCTGTTCTAGTTCTGTTCTAGTTCTGTTCTAGTTCTGTTCTAGTTCTGTTCTAGTTCTGTTCTAGTTCTGTTCTAGTTCTGTTCTAGTTCTGTTCTAGTTCTGTTCTAGTTCTGTTCTAGTTCTGTTCTAGTTCTGTTCTAGTTCTGTTCTAGTTCTGTTCTAGTTCTGTTCTAGTTCTGTTCTAGTTCTGTTCTAGTTCTGTTCTAGTTCTGTTCTAGTTCTGTTCTAGTTCTGTTCTAGTTCTGTTCTAGTTCTGTTCTAGTTCTGTTCTAGTTCTGTTCTAGTTCTGTTCTAGTTCTGTTCTAGTTCTGTTCTAGTTCTGTTCTAGTTCTGTTCTAGTTCTGTTCTAGTTCTGTTCTATTTCTGTTCTCGTTCTGTTCTAGTTCGTTCGAGTTCTGTTCTAGTTCTGTTCTAGTACTGTTCTAGTTCTGTTCTAGTTCTGTTCGAGTTCTGTTCTAGTTCTGTTCTAGTTCTGTTCTAGTTCCTGTCTAGTTCTGTTCTAGTTCTGTTCTAGTTCTGTTCTAGTTCTCTCTAGTTCTGTGCTAGCTCTGTTCTACTTCTGTTTCTACTTCTGTTCTACTTCTGTTCTACTTCTGTTCTACTTCTGTTCTACTTCTGTTCTAGTTCTGTTCTAGTTCCTGTTCTAGTTCTAGTTCTGTTCTAGTTCTGTTCTAGTTCTGTTCTAGTTCTGTTCTAGTTCTGTTCTAGTTCTGTTCTAGTTCTGTTCTAGTTCTGTTCTAGTTCTGTTCTAGTCTGTTCTAGTTCTGTTCTAGTTCTGTTCTAGTTCTGTTCTAGTTTTTTTCTGTTCTAGTTCTGTTCTAGTTCTGTTCTCGTTCTGTTCTAGTTCTGTTCTAGTTCTGTTCTAGTTCTGTTCTAGTTCTGTTCTAGTTCTGTTCTAGTTCTGTTCTAGTTCTGTTCTAGTTCTGTTCTAGTTCTGTTCTAGTTCTGTTCTAGTTCTGTTCTAGTTCTGTTCTAGTTCTGTTCTAGTTCTGTTCTAGTTCTGTTCTAGTTCTGTTCTAGTTCTGCTCTAGTTCTGTTCTAGTTCTGTTCTAGTTCTGTTGTAGTTCTGTTCTAGTTCTGTTCTAGTTCTGTTCTAGTTCTAGTTCTCTTCTAGTTCAGTTCAAACTATACCTTTTCTCCTCCAACTTTTGCATCCAAAACGCCTTCAATTCCTTTAAACTACCCGCCTTACCACCATATTCCAAAGGCAGCATTTCACGTGGAAAATATTCATAAGGAGTATCAGCATTAGGCAAATGAAAATGTATCTAAAGCAAAACATTCAACCATTGACATAAAATCCATTTTCTTTCTTTTTCGTACTTACCAATTTAAAAACTTCACTTTTCATAAATGGCTTAATAACCGTCAACACTTTATCCAAATACGAAGGACTATTTAAAACATGTATTTGTCTGATGCGCACTGGATGTGCCTCCTGCACAAATTTCATATAAACACGTAAAACTGAGAGGACAGTCTTTGTTAAATGCCGCAAACTATAGCCGGACATATCAAAAATGGGAACCTCGCCATCATCAGGTTCATCGTTGATGGCAAAACGACAGTCGGACATCATAAAGAATACTTTGATGGAATCAGTAAAGTTGAACTGGGTTAAAGTAAAGTGGAAAAAAAATTGCAAACATTTTCTTGTTTTTTTTTTTTTTTTTTCTTTTTGTGAACAAGACACTCACCTTGTCTGCATCATGGTCGATTAAACGATAAATAAGCAGTTTATAATTGTCGGGTGTTTTGCCGGGGAGTGGTATGAGGTCGCTGTAAAGATTTTGTGTGTTTGTTGTATTAACTAGTTTTGTTTTTTTTTTTTTAATTTTTCTCATGTTTTGAACTTACGCCACTTGCAGTAGTTTCTGTGAACTCTCATCTAGAGGATCTCTTTTCAAAAAAATTTCACTGTGTTTGTTGCGCAATTTAAAATTAAATTCCAGCAAACGTTTGGCCCCATCCAAATCACCATTCATGGAGTGAATGAAACGTTTGAGGAATAGTTTATCTAGAATTTTTTGTTTTTGGAATTTAAATAACATGGATGGTTAAAACCAGAATTTGAAGAGAAAACCCCAAAGAAAATTAGGTCGGAAAAAATAAAAAAAATATGTTTGATATAAATTTTTGTCTGACATATAAATTTATGTCTGACATAAAAATGAATGTCTGACATAAAAATGTATGTCTGACATAAAAATTTAAGTCTGATATAAAAATTTATATCTGCAATTTAAATTTATGTCTGACATAAAATTATGTGTGACATAAAAATTTATGGCAGGCATTAATCGTATGTCTGACAATCAAATTTTATAAAAATATCTTAACAAATTTATGTCTGACATAAAATTTTTTTTAAAAATTTATATATATTTATGTCTATCATAAAAATATCTACAGAAATTTACGACTGTTTTAAAGCTTTCTATAGAAATTTATGTCTGACATAAAAATGTCTTAACAAATGTATGTCTGACATAAAAATGTCTTAACAAATATTTATATTTATGTTTGACATAAATATTTTTTTTAATTTATGTATGATGGAAAAATTTATAGAATTTTATGTCTGACATAAAAATGTCAGACAATGTCATTTTGTTTCAAATTATGTCTAATGGAAAAATCTCTAGAAATTTATGCCTTAAAGAACAATTCCTACAGATATTTATGTCTGTCATAAAAATGTCTTAACAAATGTATGTCTGACATAATTTTTTTTTAATTTATGTATGATGGAAAAATTTATAGAATTTTCTATGTCAGACATACATTTTTGTTTTAAATTATGTCTAATGGAAAAATCTCTAGAAATTTATGACTAAAGAACAATTTCTATTCTGAAATTTATGAAAATTATGTCTGACCTAAAAATGTCTTAACAAATTTATGTCTGAGATTAAAATGTCTTAACAAATTTATGTCTGACATATTTTTTTTTAATTTATGTATGATGCAAAAATTTATAGAATTTTATGTCTGACATAAAAATGTCACACATACATTTTTGTTTTAAAGAAAAATTTCTATAGAAATTTATGTCTGACATAAACAGAAAACTATCCAGAGAATTAGACAAAATTCTTAAGTAATTTATAATTGTTAGACAAACGTCTATAGATATATTGATTATTCAGTTAGTTATGCCTGATTGATAGTAATATTTACTTTAAATAAAATGTATAAATTTTACATTAACATTTTATTACAAAAAAAATTCCAACAATTTAAACAACTTGTAATATTAAGCACTTCAAATAACTGACGTACATTAAAATAAAATTTATTATTTTATATATTAAAAACAAATAAAAAAAATTAATTATTCAGCACAAAATTTTTGCAATGTATAAGTAGGTATGTATTTAATTTGTCTAAATACTATAACTGCTCACAAAATAACAACTTTAATATTAATTTCAGCAACAATGTAAATTTATATTTAACACAACAAAATAAATTTCTTTTTCAATTAGCACTTGAAAAAAGTAGTAAACAAAATATTTTTTTGAATATGGAAAATATTTAAGAAAATACCTATATTTTGAGGCAATTGTGGTTGGGTTTTCAACCATGTTTCTAAAGCTAAAATTTGTTCTTCTAAACCGGGTTTAACCACCATATTGTTATAGAAATATAATAATTTTTGAATTTTAATTAAACTATAAATAAATTGATATAATTTTTATTGGCAAAAAAAAACTGTCTCCGTTTTAAAAACAACCTTAACGTTTTAAGTCGCGTTTCCAACTGAAACGTGCTTAGTTTATTTGAGTATTAAAATCCATACACAGCTCAAGCGCAAAGCGATTTTTTTTTATTATTATTTTTAACATAATATTGTTGTTGTTTTTTAGTTATAGCTTTAGGCTTTTTAATTATTTATGCAGTTGATATTTTTATAACTTGATGTACACTGAACTCTTTTTTGTAATAATTCTATAACAATTTTAGAATAAAAGTTCTAAAAAAAACTAAAAACCCGTTTTTTTAAATGAGAGAAGATAAATATGCCGAGTTAAATATATTTGACGTATTTTCTTTCTTACGTCAAAACATATTTACAAATATGTTTTAAATTGGGACATATCATAAAGATTACTTGAGATTTGTGACATAAAGCTTCACTTTTGCAAAATTTTCCTAAAATCACTCAAAGACTTAATATTAATTATTTATAAATTTTGAAAAAAATGTTTAAAAATAGATAAAATTAATTTGTAATGAAAATAACTTAAAATTTTTATTGAGGGGTCAATTCCCTTCAAAATGATATATATCACGTCCTGTCATCTTTTCCACTTTGGGCAAATTTTCCAAATTCTCTCAAAGACTCAATACTAATTATATTATCTTCATTAATTTTTTTTAAACCTTGACTTTGCGACTTTATTTATGGCAAATGAAGGCAAAGTTTTATGAAATTTTGTAAGAAATATTAAAAATTCATGTTTGGAATATTAATTATTGTTTATTGCTTAATAAAGTCAAATTTTAAACTAAAACTACTGTAATTGTTTGTTCCAATCCAACATATGTATTTGTTTACATTTGAAATGCCAAATTTAAGCTTTGTTTTGATTGCTTTGTTTACATTCGTTTGCAAGGGTCACTGAGCAAAAAAACAGAACGAAACTTGGCAGCACTGGTTTAGTGTTTGTAACATAAACAACAGAAATACAGAGAAACTAACATTTATTGTTATTTTTCATAACATTTATGTTTATTTAACATTTAAATGTTATATTTATCTATAAATTAACCCTAATTATTGTTAATGTAATATTTTCTTTAGCAATTACTTATTTAACTTGTTACCAATCATCATATCTAAACAATCATAAAATTAATATAAATGTACATTTTTATGACCACATTTTCACAATAAAATTTTAAGAAATAATATTTGTTTTTTATTACAACAAAAAAGTAACAACAAAAACTATTTACAAACCAACAAAATTTCTTGCAACAATCTTTTAAAAGTGCACATCAAAATAATGACCGGACCGACTGTCTGTCTATTGTAGTAAAATTAAAAAAAAATTGCAAAAAAAAAGGAAGAAAAATAAACGCCATAAAATTTTCAATAATATTACATGTTTCGATGGTACCTATGGGTTGCAAACTATAGACAGTTAGTAAGTAAGTAGTGTCATGTGTGTGTGTTTGTTAATGATGGTTCCAGTGATGTGTGCAACATGGTGCTAAATAGCAGGGATGGCAAGTCAAATTTGTGATAAAAATTATAATAAACGAAGCAAATTTATAGCTGACACAAAAATTTCAAAAGAAATTTATAGTTGACCAAAAATTGTCAAAGGAAATTTATGTCTGACAGAAAAATGTCAAACTAATTTTATGTCTGTCCTAAAAAATTTTTTAGAAATTTATGTCTGATAGAAAAATGTCTTAAGAAATTTATGTCTAACGGAAAAAAGTCTTTAGAAATTTATGTCTGACAAAAAAAATATCTTAAGAAATTTATGTCTGACAGAAAAATGTCACAAAAATTATGTCAGAAACATTTCTTTACAAATGTACGCTTGACTCAAAAATAGCTTAAAAAATATGTCGGAATAAAAAATGTCAAAGAATATTTATGTCTAACAGAAAAATATCAAAAGAAATTTATGTCTGATAGAAACATATCAAACAAAATTTATTTCTGATAGAATCATATCAAACAAAATTTATGTCTTACAAAAAAAAATGTCTACAGAAATTTATTTCTAAAAACAATATTAAGAAATTTATGTCTGACAGAAAAAAGTCTTAAGAAATTTTAAAGATTTGTCTGACATACAAATGTTTATAGAAATGTATGTCTGACAAAAAAAATGTCTTCAGAAATTCGTGTCTGACACAAAAACGACTAAAGAAATGTATGTCTGATAGGAAAATGTCTTCATAAATTGACGTCTGACAGAAAAATGTCTTCAAAAATGTATGCCTCCCAGAAAAATTTCTAATGACATATGTATGTCTGACAGAAAAATGTCTTAAGAAATTTAATCTTTAGAAATTTATATTTCAAATTTTTTTTTTTACAAATATTTTAAATTTTAACCAAAAACTCAATCTTCTTAACTTCTCCATCTCTGTTAAGTAGTGTACCACTTTCCTATACATATAGCATTGGTTTGTCGGGATATTAGTGCAGCCGGAGAAGAGGTGGTAAACAAATATGAATTGCTAGCAAATGAGTTTTGAGGTTGGCAAAGAAGTAATAAAAATGAAAAAATGTGGCAAAGCTCGCGCTGAGGGCTTTAGTTTATTGCACAATTTATAATAGTAGAGTGAGAGAAGAGGTTATTGACTTATATTTCTTTTATTTATCTTTTTTGTTTTTTTTTTTTTTTTGCTTTGGGCATATACATAATTAAAGGTTTAAACTACTGGTATAGATTTGTTAATATCAGCACTCAAAGCACACTGAATGGAATTAAAAATTAGAAAAGATTTTTTTCATTCATAGAATAATTTATAATTTTTGTAAAGAAATAAATAAATATTCATCAAAAGATTTTGTTAGGTTTTTAACAGGTTGCCAATGCAGTGTATTCTGTAGTCTAGTCTATAGTTTAGTATAAAGTTTAGCCTATAGTCTAATCAAGTGTAAAGTCTAGTCTATAGTCTAGTCTACAGTCTAGTCTATAGTCTAGTCTATAGTCTAGTCTATAGTCTAGTCTATAGTCTAGTCTATAGTCTAGTCTATAGGCTAGTCTATAGTCTAGTCTATAGTCTAGTCTATAGTCTAGTCTATAGTCTAGTCTATAGTCTAGTCTATAGTCTAGTCTATAGTCTAGTCTATAGTCTAGTCTATAGTCTAGTCTATAGTCTAGTCTATAGTCTAGTCTATAGTCTAGTCTATAGTCTAGTCTATAGTCTAGTCTATAGTCTAGTCAGTCTATAGTCTAGTCTATAGTCTAGTCTATAGTCTAGTCTATAGTCTAGTCTATAGTGTAGTCTATAGTGTAGTCTATAGTGTAGTCTATAGTCTAGTCTAGTCTAGTCTATAGTCTAGTCTATAGTGTAGTCTATAGAGTAGTCTATAGTCTAGTCTATAGTCTAGTCTATAGTCTAGTCTATAGTCTAGTCTGTAGTCTAGTCTATAGTCTAGTCTATAGTCTAGTCTATAGTCTAGTCTATAGTCTAGTCTATAGCCTAGTCTATAGTCTAGTCTATAGTCTAGTCTATAGTCTAGTCTATAGTCTAGTCTATAGTCTAGTCTATAGTCTAGTCTATAGTCTAGTCTATAGTCTAGTCTATAGTCTAGTCTATAGTCTAGTCTATAGTCTAGTCTATAGTCTAGTCTATAGTCTAGTCTATAGTCTAGTCTATAGTCTAGTCTATGGTCTAGTCTAGTAGTCTAGTCTAGTCTATAGTCTAGTCTATAGTCTAGTCTATAGTCTAGTCTATAGTCTAGTCTATAGTCTAGTCTATAGTCTAGTCTATAGTCTAGTCTATAGTCTAGTCTATAGTCTAGTCTATAGTCTAGTCTATAGTCTAGTCTATAGTCTAGTCTATAGTCTAGTCTATAGTCTAGTCTATAGTCTAGTCTATAGTCTAGTCTATAGTCTAGTCTATAGTCTAGTCTATAGTCTAGTCTATAGTCTAGTCTATAGTCTAGTCTATAGTCTAGTCTACAGTCTAGTCTATAGTCTAGTATATGGTCTATTCTATAGTATAGCCTATAGTCTAGTCTATAGTCTAGTCTATAGTCTAGTCTATAGTCTAGTCTATAGTCTAGTCTATAGTCTAGTCTATAGTCTAGTCTATAGTCTAGTCTATAGTCTAGTCTATAGTCTAGTCTATAGTCTAGTCTATAGTCTAGTCTATAGTCTAGTCTATAGTCTAGTCTATAGTCTAGTCTATAGTCTAGTCTAGTCTATAGTCTAGTCTATAGTCTAGTCTATAGTCTAGTCTACAGTCTAGTCTATAGTCTAGTATATGGTCTATTCTATAGTATAGCCTATAGTATAGTATATGGTCTATTCTATAGTATAGCCTATAGTATAGTCTATTGTCTAGTCAATAGTGTAGTCTATAGTCAAGTCTAAAGTCGAGTGTATAGTTTAGTCTTAAGTCTAGTTTATAGTTCATTCTATAGTTTAGTCTATAGTCTAGTCTTTAATGTTGTCTATAGGCTAATCTTCAGTTTAGTCTATAGTCTACTCTATAGTCTAGTCTAGTTTATAATATAGTCTCTACTCCAGTCTATAGTCTGGTCTACAGTCTAGTTTAGTCTGTAGTCAAGCCAGAAATTAATTTGGTACTTTAAAAACTATAAAAGTACTTTTTTGTTATTAGTACTATTTCAAAATTTAAATTTTCCATGCTGACGTGAACACAAGTTGGCAACACTTTTTACTGTCAAGCCGCCATAACTTGTGGCCAGAGATACAAGCCGATGCTAAATAATCGGCGGAGTCGGCGGCTTCTGATAAAATATACCGGCGGCAGCTAAAATGTTGCCTAAATCTAATTAAAAATTGGTTTTTATCAGAAAATTATATATATATACGTTTGTTATATAGAAAAGATATCTTTATATTTGTTTGTTAGATAGGAAAGTATCACTATATAAGTATTTTATAGAGAAAATAGTCAATATTACAGTTATTTTTATAAAAAAATGATGGAAAATCGTTTGAATTTGTCTGTAAAAAGTAAAAACTCAGTTCAATTTTTTTAGGTTTTTTAGTCGTCGGCGCGCGGCTGCTAAAATGTGGCGGACGACCTGCCGCCGTCGATTTGAGCCGAGTCGGCTTGTATCTCTGTTTGTGTGTACTGTTTCTGCAAAAAATAAAGAAAATAATAGAAAAGCACGAGTAAAAATAAAAATTTATGAGAAATAACAAAACTTTTGATCAAGTAACAAAAAAATCTGTTTAAATATTTCCAAATTTTAATCATATAATAAATAAAATCATAATTTATTTATTATAATTGCACGCGTGCTAAACGTCATTAGTTGATAGAAATATAAAAACATATGCCTGCAGCGTTAGCAGCAGCAGCAGAAAAAAATTGACAAACAAGCAACAACAAAAAGCACGAGGTTTTGTGTGTAACAATAACATTGTGGAAAAGTGGTTTCAATACTAGAAAAGTTTTTGGAGTTTTTCGTTGAAAATGGTGCCTATAGGACCAGTGCATGGGGGACACCCAGGAGTGCATGCCCCTCAACCTTTGCCTACAGCACCCAGCGGACCAAATACTTTGCAAACTTCTTCATCGCAGGGTAATACTTCCTCTTCGTCGAACAAGAGCTCTTTGTCCATCAAACCCAATTATACTTTAAAGTTTACTTTGGCTGGACACACCAAAGCGGTGTCGGCGGTTAAATTTTCCCCCAATGGTGAATGGTTGGCTAGTTCATGTAAGTTTTGAGAAGGTATTTTAAAAATTTAAGTTTAATTGTTGTTTGTTTCTTCTATAGCGGCTGATAAATTGATAAAAATTTGGGGAGCCTATGATGGCAAATTTGAAAAAACTATTTCGGGCCATAAATTGGGTATTTCCGATGTGGCCTGGTCTTCCGATTCACGTTTGTTGGTGAGTGGCAGTGATGACAAGACCTTAAAGGTGTGGGAATTAAGTTCCGGAAAATGTTTGAAGACCCTAAAAGGTCACAGCAACTATGTGTTTTGCTGTAACTTTAATCCGCAATCGAATCTTATTGTTTCGGGCAGCTTTGATGAATCGGTACGCATTTGGGATGTGCGCACTGGCAAGTGTCTGAAAACTTTGCCCGCCCACTCGGATCCCGTTTCGGCAGTACATTTCAATCGTGATGGTTCTCTGATTGTCAGCTCTAGCTATGACGGTTTGTGCCGCATTTGGGATACCGCCAGTGGCCAATGTTTGAAAACTCTTATAGATGATGATAACCCGCCTGTTAGTTTTGTTAAATTCTCACCCAATGGCAAGTATATATTGGCCGCCACTCTGGACAATACCTTGAAATTGTGGGATTATTCTAAGGGCAAATGTTTGAAAACCTATACGGGCCACAAAAATGAGAAATATTGTATATTTGCCAATTTTTCGGTTACAGGCGGCAAGGTTAGTTAAAATATTGTTTCTTTGGCAAAATGTTTACTTAAATTGTTTCTCTTTCTAGTGGATTGTTTCGGGCAGTGAGGATAATATGGTTTATATATGGAATTTACAATCGAAAGAGGTGGTGCAAAAGTTGCAGGGACACACGGATACTGTTTTATGCACTGCCTGTCATCCCACAGAGAATATAATTGCTTCGGCGGCTTTGGAAAATGACAAAACCATAAAATTATGGAAGAGTGATACATAATTTTATACATTTTTAACAACTAGCTACAACTTAATGTGTATTTTAATTTTAGTTTCTTTTCTTATAATAAGGCTCAAACAAAACAAAAGAAATTTGCATTTCTTTAAAATAAAATTTCAAATTTTCCATAAAATTTATAAAAAAATATCGATAATTTTAACTTACCTTTGTCGTTTATTGAATATTATGAAACAGCTTTGGGGTTGTTTAAGTTTCCGGCGAAGTGAAGTTCCGGCCAACACAAAGAACAACAAACTATTGTTCGCCAACATTTTGTTGAACAAACTTAGCAAATATGAAGATTTTTCTACACATACATTTCAACATTTTATCATAAACACTTGTTTATGCCCGAATAAACTTTCTTCCGGCCACATTGACACACCACTTTTTTTGGCCAAGATTTTTTTCTTAATTTTTTACTTAAACTTGTGTATTTTAATGATTTTTTATTAAAACTTTATATTTATTTATATAAATAAACTCATATTTTTTAATTATTGCACTTTTTTACATATTTTTTCTTAAACAAATTATTTACTTTTGCAAATTACTATAAATTTTGCTTTTTCACACATTTTCTTATAATTTCTATAAATTTTGCTATATATAAGCATGATTTCTTATTAAAACTACTTTATTTCATTTAAACACTTTATTTTTTATAATATTTTCACTATTTGTTAAATTCAATTATGCATTTCCTTGCACTTGTTACAATTGTTTAGCTAAACTGCTTTGGCGCCCATTTTGAAAGCTCAAGTTACAATGAAGGCGTCTGTAGCATTGACAGGCCGTTAGAAAAATTTAAGCTGCCATACTGTTGGAAAATGAAATTTAAATTTTTTTGAAAATTATGAAAAAATCACTATTAAACAAGTTTGAAATAAATATAAATCAAAATTTTAAACATTTTGTTTTCCAAATTAACATAATTTCCTAAAAAATTTGAACTTTATACAAAAACAAAAATTCAAAATATTTTACAAATAACAGTACGGCATCTCTTTAATATATAATAACACTTACCAGCACTACTTTTCGTTGTCAACAACACTCTATTGTGAATTATTTTATGATTGTTTTGACAATTTCATGACATTAGTGCAGTGTGTGTGTGTGATTTCAAAAAAATTGCATACGTCTCCACGTGAAAGTTAAATTCCTTACAAAATTTCACCCTTTTTTACAACAAATTCCCCTTTGTAGTTAGCAAATTACTATTTAAATTATTATTTATTAATACCCACAACCAAACATGTCTAAAAACAAGGCCAAGAACAAGAAAAATCATTTCGATGATGATGAAGATATGGATGAGCAACCACCAGCCAATATTGTAACAAAAAAATCACAAAAGAAAGGAAAAAAGGGTAAACGTGGAGGCGATGACTCCGATGATGATTTTGCTGGCAGTACCAACCGTATAAATGAAGATTTGGAAAGTGTTACTTCAAGTAATAGTAAGACATCTTCGCAGCAGCCAGCGGCCAACCAGAAAGGTAAAAAAGGCAAAAAGGGTAAGAAGGGCAAAGATGATTGGAGTGATGAGGAAGATGAAAAGCCAGCACAACCTGTTAGTAAGAACAATAAGAAAAACAACAAAAAGCAATTAGATTCTGAGGAGGAAGATGAAGAGGTAGTGGCAGCAGTGGCCAAACCGGCAAAACAAAAACAACAACAGAAGAAATCTAAAAAGAATAAGAAAAAAGATGATTTTAGTGATGATGATGAAGACATTGATTTGTTGAAAAAGGTAGCCGATGAGGAGGAAGATGAAGAGGACGAAGAACCCGTGGTCATAGCTAAACCAGCCAAAAAGAACAATAAAAAACAAAAGAAAAATAATAAATTTGAAATGATGAGCGATGACGAAGAAGAACAATTAGAGGAAGCAGAAGAAGAACCAGTAGAAAAAGAGGAAGAAGCACCTAAAGCAGCTGAACCAGTAAAAGAAAAATCAGCTACACCTGAACCTGTAATAGAGGAGAAAATGGAAGATTTAACTTTAGAAGATAAGGAAACCGAAACACAGGAGGAGCCCTCAGAAACTGGCGAAAAAGTTAAGAAAGAAAAGAAAATGACTCACAAGGAAAAGAAAAAATTGAAAAAACAAGAAGAATATGAAAAACAAATGGAAATGATGACCAAAAAGGGTGGTTTGGGTCACTCCGATTTGGATAGCAATTTCACCATGTCTCAAGTGCAGAAAACTGCTGGACAAAAGGCTGCTCTAGAACATGCGGTAGATATTAAAATAGAGAATTTCACCATTTCCGCCAAGGGTGAGTAATCATATTAAATCAATTAGTAAGAAACTAAATTACATTTCCCCTCTTTTAGGTAACGATTTGTTTGTTAATGCCAATCTTTTGATTGCCCATGGTCGCCGTTATGGTTTGGTGGGTCCCAATGGTCACGGTAAGACCACTTTATTGCGTCACATTGCCACACGTGCCTTTGCCATACCACCCAATATCGATGTTTTGCTTTGCGAACAAGAGGTGGTGGCCACCGATAAGACAGCTGTTGAGACTATTTTGGAGGCTGATGTTAAACGCATAAAACTTATGGCCAAATGCAAAGAATTGGAAGATCAATTTTCTGCTGGCGATTTAAGTGTACAAGAAGAACTTAATGATGTTTTTGCTGAACTCAAGGCTACAGGCGCCTACTCGGCCGAGGCTCGTGCTAGACGTATTTTAGCCGGTTTGGGTTTCAGTGAAGAAATGCAAAATAGAGCCACCAACAAATTCTCTGGTGGTTGGCGTATGCGTGTCTCCCTGGCTAGAGCTTTGTATTTGGAACCTACTCTTCTCATGCTTGATGAACCTACAAACCATTTGGATTTGAATGCTGTCATTTGGTTGGACAACTATTTGCAGGGCTGGAAAAAGACTCTGTTGATTGTTTCTCACGATCAAAGTTTCTTGGATAATGTTTGTAATGAAATTATACATTTGGATCAAAAGAAATTGCACTACTACAAGGGCAACTACTCCATGTTCAAGAAAATGTATGTGCAAAAGCGTCGAGAAATGATTAAAGAGTATGAGAAACAAGAAAAACGCATAAAGGAATTGAAGGCTCACGGCCAGTCCAAGAAGGCGGCCGAAAAGAAGCAAAAAGAAGCTTTAACACGCAAACAGGAAAAGAACAAGTCGAAACAGCAAAAGCAGGATGAGGATGAAGGTCCCACAGAATTGCTGGAAAGACCTAAGGAGTACATAGTGAAATTCCGTTTCCCCGAACCTTCACAATTACAGCCCCCAATTTTGGGTTTGCACAATGTTACATTTGGCTTTGAGGGCCAACCTAAACTATTTAAAGATGTTGATTTTGGTATTGATTTAACCAGTCGTGTGGCCATAGTGGGTCCCAACGGTGTGGGCAAATCCACCTTCCTTAAACTTTTGCTCGGAGAACTAGAACCTCAAAAGGGTGAACAAAGAAAAAATCATCGTTTACGTGTTGGACGTTTTGATCAGCACTCTGGTGAACATTTGACTGCTGAAGAATCTGCCGCTGAGTATTTACAACGTCTTTTCAACTTACCCCATGAAAAGGCACGCAAAGCCTTGGGCTCTTTTGGTTTAATTAGTCATGCTCATACCATTAAAATGAAGGATTTGTCTGGCGGTCAAAAAGCTCGTGTCGCCTTGGCTGAATTGTGTCTTAGTGCTCCAGATGTTTTGATTCTTGATGAACCTACAAATAATTTGGATATTGAATCGATTGATGCCTTAGCTGAAGCTATCAACGAATATGAGGGTGGTGTTATTATTGTTTCTCACGACGAACGTTTGATACGTGAAACCGGCTGTACACTGTATGTTATTGAAGAGCAAACCATTAATGAAATTGATGGTGAGTTCGATGACTACCGTAAGGAAGTATTGGATGCTTTGGGTGAAGTGGTCAATAATCCCAGTGTGGTGGCCAATGCTGCTGTATTGCAAGAATAAGTTTTTACGCATTTGTGATTTATGGAAAATGTTATGATTATGGCTTTAGGAAATTTACACGCAAAACAAGTCTTGTTGCAAAGGGGTCTTTAGCAATTGATTTTTTTTTGTAATACTATTTTTATTAAAAGTATCATTTACAAGATTTTTTTATTATTTAAAACAAAAACAAACGAGAAATTAAACAATTGTTAAAGTTAAAACTCAAAAATTAAGAGAAATCTCTGTGAAAAGTGAAGAATTTTTTAATAAAGGTAAGTATTTAAAAGGAAATTAATCAACTTTTGTTCTCAATAAAGAGTTGATTTTACGAAACGTAATATTATCATGAATAACTTATATCATTCTAAATTCAAAAAAAAGTTCTCGTAATTTGTCTGCTATATTAAATTGAATTTAAAACTATTCAATTATTATTAAACTATTTTTTAATTATAATGAATTTAATAAATTCATTATAATTAAAAAAATAGTTTTTGAGTTCATTTAGTACTACAGATAACATAGTTTACTTATTAAATGTCTTTAATGGTAAAATTACAAATAACAGATTAAACATTAAACTTTCTTAACCCCAAAAATGTAACGATTAATTAAGAAAATATATTGAATATCATTCAAAACCCGTTATTTTTCCATTTCAAATACAAAAAAGTTGTTATATTTAATTTTCCTTATAAAAACAAGCTGGCATCATTATAAAAGTGCTGCCAAGTACGGCAATTTTTTGGTATTTACTTTAAATCTACTTTCTAAACAAGTATTAATTATTTTGACATTTTCATTATTTTAACGTGACACTTGTTTTAATTCGATTTTCTTATTGTCCGTCAGTCAGTCGATTTATTCAGTCCAAGTCGTAGGGAACGGGTTTTACACTTTTTGGAAACGGTAGTGAGGTGTTAGAGATGTACTAATAAGAAAAAAATAAATATTTTCCTTTTGAAATGTGATTAAAATTAATTAAATTATTAATTTGCTAAAAATTTTAAGTAAAAGAAAATTAAATTAAAACGAATATAGAGCAAGAAAATAAAAAGATATATTACAAAAAAAATTAAATAGATTAGGAAAGGTGTTATAAAAAAACAAGAGAGTAAATAAGTGGAAAAAATATAAAATTTACAAAAGCAATGCACTATGAACAAAGTAGACGATAAGACAAACAATACAATAACAATGGAGCAACAACTGCCTTTCACTACAGCCACAGCGAAGAATACTGAAAACCTAGTGGAGCTGGATACATTGAACATAATGAACAATACAGATGCGACGAATACGCACAAAGAAATACGACTGCCTATTATAGGCATGACCTGTCAAAGTTGTGTAAGAAATATTGAAGGCAATATGGCCACAAAACCTGGCATAATCTCCTGTCGAGTGGAGTTAAACGAAAATGCTGGTTACTTCCGCTACGATGCCACACAAACAAATCCCTCAAAAATTGCCTTTGAAATTGACGATATGGGCTTTGAATGCTCCTATGATGAAGAAAATGTAAATAATGGACAAACACAACAACAAAATGGACAAACAAATGACAAATGCCTGGTGCGTGTTATAGGCATGACCTGTCAAAGTTGTGTTAAAAATATAGAGGGTAATATAGGCACTAAAAAAGGCATTAAAAGCATTAAGGTTAGTCTGGAGGACAAACAGGCGGAAGTGGAATTTGATGGCTCTATACTAAAACCTGAGGAGGTGGCCGAAATGATTGACGATATGGGTTTTGAGGCCAGTGTTTTAGATGCAAATTCTTGCCTCAAAAATAGTGCGCTTATAACGAACAAGCAAAAATCCCACACACCCTCACCTTCCCCCAAAAAATCCCCCACTACCACCAATGGCCATGCTACCACTTTGGCCATAGAGGATCAATTGCTCTCCAAATGTTTTCTACATATACGTGGCATGACTTGTGCCAGCTGTGTGGCAACTATAGAAAAACATTGTCGCAAAATCTATGGCATCGATAGTATACTGGTGGCTTTATTGGCTGCTAAGGCGGAAGTTAAATACAATGCCAATGTTATTACCCCGGAAAGTATAGCAAAGTCTATAACGGAATTGGGTTTTCCATCGGAATTGATTGAAGAACCAAATAGTGGTGAGGCCGAGGTAGAAATTGAAATTAAAGGCATGACTTGTGCTTCCTGTGTTAATAAGATAGAGACTCATGTGCGTAAACTGAAAGGTGTGACAGCTGCTGCGGTTACTTTAATAACTAAACGGGGTACGTTGTGGAAAAATGTTTAATCAATTTTACAGGTTTTTAGGGAACCGCACATTACACTTTAGAATCTATAGATTGTTCTATAGATCAATCTATAGACTGGCATATAGATTAGTCTATAGATCAATCTATGGACTGGTCCATAGATCAATCTATAGACTAGTCCATAGATCAATCTATAGACTGTTCTGTAGACTAAGCTATAGGCTGGTCTATAGATCAACCTGTAGACTAGTTTATAGATCAATCTATAGACTGATCTATAGATCAACCTGCAGACTAGTTTATAGATCAATCTATAGACTGGTCTATAGATTAATCTATAGACTGATCTATGGATCAATCTATAGACTGATCTTTAAATCAATCAATAGACTAGCCTATAGATCAAAGTCTTTAGATCAATCAATATACTATTCGATAGATCAATCTATAGTCTGTGCTATGGATGAGTCTATATACTGGTCTGCAGATCAATATAAATGATCTATAGATACATTAAGTTATTAAGAGCATGACTCCAACATGTGTTTTTTGAAATTAATTTCCAAAAATAATTAATTGTTTTCTTAATGTAAACTACAGATGTTAAAAACTTGGGGTTGAAAAGAACAATGATTTCATTATTCTGTTTAATAAAGATACAAATGATCGAATTATTTATTTGTGTTCTACACACATATGCATGTATGAGTTTGTTTATTTTACGTTTATTTATAACATTTCCTTGTGTCTAAACTAAACACAAGTAGAGTTTAAAGAATTTTAATTTTAGCTTATTTATGAAGCGATAAAATAACAACAAAAATAACAAATAAATTCAAATTTGAAAATAAATCTAAACAAAAGAACTCTACAATCTTTATGTCTAATACACTAAAGTACAAATAATTGTTAAAGATAAATAAATGAAAGTAAATTTTCAAACAATTAGCTGCAAAAACAAAGAATATTTAAAATTTTTATAAAGCGTCAGATATTGATTTAGATTTGCTATTGTTAAACAAAACCTTTGTTAAAATTAGTTTAAAGATAAAGTCTAATTTTGATTTCAAAGTAATTTAATAAACAATTTTGTAAACTTTATTGTCCACAACTGTGTAGCATGTAAAATGTATATGAATCATAAAGTATTTTCAGTTGTAATTATGAATGAGAAAATACATTCAATTTTAGGGAAATTACCAGATTGAGATAAGAGGCAATGAATAGATTGTTTTTCAAAATTATAAGAACAATATTAAAAAACCTTGAACTGATTTCTCCTTTAACCACCAACTTCCCTTCAAAACTCTATAAACATCAATTAAATTGAAAGTTTTATAAAATTTGTTTTATTATTAAACAAAAATATCAAGGTTTTTTCCTTAACTTTAAGATTTTGCTTTATATTTCATAAAATTGCTTTAAAAATGTTTAAAAACAACTGAAACAATTGACCAAAAACTTTAAAAGCATTAAGTAAAGTTTTACGTTTGTTGTTATGGTTTTCTTAAGCAACAGGTTAAGATATGAAAAAAATATATATATTATAAAATCATTAACAATTAAGAGGGTTTTTAAAAATAAAAAGTGAAATGTAAAACTGTAAAACAAAAAAAAATGTTTATGAATTTTACACAATTCCCTCGAAAACTTTTTGTTAAATTCCCTATAACAAAAGAAACGTGCTAAATGCAAAAAATTAATTAAACACAATACTTGTTTGTGATTTAATAAGTTAACAAAAGTTTGTAATAAATATAAAAATGTAAATAAATAAAATGAAATATGCTTAAGAATTTTAACGATTTCTTGAGAATTTTGTTGGAAAAAAGTAGTTCAAACTAGTCTAGAGATTGGGACTAAATATTGACTTATAGACGAGTATATATATTAATCTATAGAGCGGTCTCTAGGCTGATCTATTACCCAGTCTTTAGATAGAAATATAGATTTGTATATTGTTTGATATATAAAAAAGACTATAGTTTGATCTATGGAATAGTCTATCGATAGAACTTAAGAGTAGTCTAGAGTCAAATTTAGACCTGTCTATAGATTGACCTCTAGATCAGTCTATATATTTATCTGTAGATGAGTCTACAGATTGATCTATAGACCAACTTTTAGATTGATCTATAGAACAGTTTATAGATTGATCTATAGATCAGACTAATCTTCAGACCAGACTATAAATAGATCTTTATACCAGACTATAGATTGATATATAAGCGATAATATGGAATGATCTAAATACGAGCTCATAGATTGATCTATGGACCAGTTTATAGATACATATATAGACCACTTTATAGATTGATCTATGGACTAGTCTATAGATTGATCTATAGGCCAGTCTAAAGATTGATCTAAAGACTAGTTTGTTGATTAATCTATAGATTGGTCTATTGCTTGATCATTAATATGCCCATAGATTGATCTATAGACCAGTCTGTAGATTGAACCATAGACCAGTCTATAGATTGATCTATAGACTAGTCTATTAAAAAAACAACCTATACATTGATCTATAGAAACGTCTATAGATTGATCTATAGACCAGACTATAGGTTGATCTATGGACCAGAATATAGGTTGATCTATAGACCAGTCTATAGGTTGATCTATAGACCAGTCTATAGGTTGATCTATAGACCAGTCTATAGATTGATCTTTAGGCCAGTCTATAGATTGATCTGTAGACTAGTCTATATATTGATCTTTAGACCAGTCTATAGATTGATCTTTAGACCAATCTATAAATTGATTCATAAACCAGTCTATAGGACTGTCTATAGATTGATTTATAGACTCGTGTATAGGTTAATCTATAGACCAGTCTATAGGTTGATCTATAGGCCAGTCAATAGGTTGATCTGTAGACTAGTCTATAGATTGATCTATAGACTAGTCTATAGATTGATCTATAGACCAGTCTATAGATCTATATATAGACCAGTATAGTATATTGAATGATTTATA